GCTTTGGATTCCAAAGTGTCCCCTGGTCGCTCTCCCAGCAGGACCGGTGACTGCCGCGTGCAGGGCGGTGCTCTCAGGGCCGGCTCCGTCCTGACTCTTCAGGGACAGCGGCCCCTCCTCAGACATCTGAGTCCCTGATCCCCCGAGATGCTCCCCACGCTTGTAGGATTTAACAAGTTCGCCCCCTTCTGTGTGCCCCGCAGGCCTGGAGGGGTGGCTGCTTCGGCGGGAACGACCTGTGTGACACTGAGCCTTCCCTTTCTGCCCTTTCAGTGCTCGTTCCTGGCTGTTGTGGGTTGAACTGTGTGCCCTCAAAAGATACGTTGGACTCCTAGCCCCCAGGGTGCAGGCATGTGTCCTTATTTGGAGAGGGCTGTCAAAGACGGAGCTGGTCCTGGCCGGGTAGCTCAGCTGGTCAGAGCATCGTCCTGATGCGCCAAGGTTGCGTGTTCAATCCCCAGTCAGGCACACACAAGAATCAGCCAGTGAATGCATCACTAGTGCGACAGCTAATTGGTATTTCTCTCTCTCTTTCTCTACTTTCTCTATCTAAAAATCCATAATAAAAAAACGTAGAATTTGTTACTATAAGATCACCATGGAGTAGCATGGGTGTCATAAGAAGAGAAGAGACTCGCAGGCAGAAGACGGCATGTGACAGCAGATGCAGAGGCCAGGTGATATATCTAAAGCCAACAAAGGCCAAGGGTCACCAGCAAACACCAGGAGCTGGACAGAGGCCAGGAAGGACCCCCTCCTCTAGCCCGTCTGACACCTTGGTTTCAGGCTCTGCCCTCCAGCACAGTGAGGCGATAAATCTCTGTTGTCTATGTCCCCCGCGCTGTGTTACTTTGTTTCAGCAGCTATAGGACATTCACAGGCTGGTTAGCAATCACTTCCATTGCATTCTGTTAAAGGAAATGGCTCAGCTTTTGTCTCTGGACTGGACTCTGGATGATACTGAAGTTGGTACCATTGGGGTGTCAGGAAACAGATCCTCCAAGGCGGCATTGGGGATGGATTTGGTCTTGTCCTTGGTATTCAAGGCTGTGCCCAGAGCCTGTCTGGACCCTGAGTCAGAAGGGATGGACGCAAAGACACCGTTTCATCTGCCGCCTCCTGTATGGGGACTAGAGTATGGTCTCCATGGGACTGACTGTGTCAGTTCAGCTCAAGGAGGAGGAAAAAGGTCCTCAAAGGGGGCACCCGGATTTGAACCGGGGACCTCTTGATCTGCAGTCAAATGCTCTACCCCTGAGCTATACCCCCTCTTATTAACAATGATGTATCATTAATAAACTTCTTTACACTTCCACTCACACACAGGCTGTTGATTCTGACTCAGCAGAGAGCTGTTAGTCCTGCTCAACTGTACTTGCAACTCTTACGCCATAATTATTCTTTTTCCAAAAAGGCACCATCTATTGTTAACACCAGCGGAAAGTCACTGAAGGTTCCATTTACGACAGCAAAGTCTGTACCTTGCTTGGGTGTCAGGCAGAAGATGAGGCCCAGAGGGAAGTTGGTGCTTCATGAACAAGGACTAGACTGTTGTTCTTCACCTGCCCATCAGTTGAGATTACTTTCAAGTTACCCGCGGCCTGGGGCCAAGATGACCTCCTCCACCTCCTTCCAGACCTTGGAGGCCTGGGGAGTATCTCTGGGGAATGTGGACTCAGATCTCTAAGGTGGTGCAATTGAACTTCAGTTATGGTTTCAGCTTTCCGTCCTGTGTACCCCTCCCTCGCTGCCCGCTCCTCCTTCCTGTCTGTCCATTAGCCATCCGCTCCAGTCCCGACGACATAAACTTTCTAAACTGTGTCTTTGGACTTCTGTTTCATGCCCAAATCCCTGTCTTTCTTGTGCTTTCCCCAAGTGGTCCAGAGGCTTGGGAGACCCAGGGCAGGTGCGTCAGCATCGATGGCCAAGGACTCTGTCTTAGTTGGATACAAAGGAAACCCACACCTAGCAACTACCATGACAAACTATCTTGCAGTCTCAGGGGCTCGGGAATCTGGGGGCGGCTTTGCCGGGCGGCTCAGGTTCAGCGGCTCGGGGGCTCGCAGCTGCGCTGTCCGCGGGGTCCCTCACCGGAAGGTTTGCCCCCTCGCCCGCTGTGGGAGAGGGGACTCCGTTGGGCGCGGCCGTTGGCAGGAGGCTTCCGTTCCTGGTCACAGGGGCCTCTCCACATTCAATCTCATTTAAAAACAGCCCCACAGACACACCCAGAGCGGTGTTTGGCCACAAACCCAAGCGCCACGTGGCCCGGTCAGGTTAACACACAAAACCAACCATCACCTGTGGTAAGCGTGCGTTTAGTTTGGTAAGAATTTGTCACACTGTTTCGCGGAGTGGCTGTGCCATTTTACATTCTGCCTGCCATATATGAGTGATGTTTTTTTCCAAAGGCTCATGAAGTAGTAAGAAAAGCAACCTCCTCGTTCCCGCTCATTGCTGTCCCGTTAAACTTTCTCGGTGAAGTTTTTCTCTCCTCCAAGTGACTTTAATGACCGTTCTAGGTAGCAGAAAGCCCGGGGGCTGCGGCCTGCCTTCAGCAATCAAAATGCCCCGTCCCACGCACTAATCAGGACTCCGAAATTGACTTCAGCTTCTGTCCTCCCCGAGAAGTGGGAGCGCCGGGACGTGGTCCTTCGTCTCCCTGTCCCCGCCGGGCGTCCGAGGCTGGCAGGGAGGCGGGGAGAAGGGCGGGAAGCAGGAGAGGAAGGAGACGCGGAGGCTCTCACTGGGCGGGTGCCGTGGTGACACAGGCTCCTTCTCTCCTGGCTCGCGAGTGTGTGGGATCACTCGTGGGGCGTTTCCCAGGACGTCCGAGGCCTGCGCTGGGACAGCCGACCCTCGCGTGGCCTGGCCGCGCATCTTCCTCCTGGCTTTCCGGGATCTGTGTCACAGACTCTCTCTGTGTGGGTCCCCGACCCCGTCCTCTTGCGGAGAGTGTGCCCTCGCTCCAAAATGGCTCTCTCCGCGTGGCCCAGGGAACCCGCGTGTGCCTTTTATTGCCACCCGCTCTGGTAACACCTGCTGATTCCCACGAGTGGCCTGGCCCCTCTCCGCCTGCAGGGCCGGCCACGCCTCACTGCAGACCCCAGGCGCAGGCCGCGGGACCGAGCCCCGCAGCGCACTCCGCGAAGCCCCTTCCCGAGGCTCAGTGTCGGGGGAGAGCGCCCCAACTCTTCCTCTCCAGAGGAGGGGTCCTCACAGCGCAGCGCGGACAGGAAAGGGTGTCTCCGCAGTCCGCGCCGACCTCCAGCACCCTGGCACCCAGACCTGGCGGCGGGTGCGTAGTCTGATGATCAGACGTGACTTTGAGGCTTGCGTAGGGCGCTCTGTCTCGCTCCTGCCTTTGGTGCCTGTACCTGTTTTATCTTGGACCCTCTACCTTTAACTGCTTTATTTTACTGCACTATAGGAGTGCAAAAGCTGTATTTCTCTATCCCACTATTAATGGACATACTAGAATGTCTCCTGTTTTATTTTGCAAACGATGCTGCAACAAACATCCGTGTGCACGTCTCCTGATGCACGTGTGCCGCAGTTTCTCCGGGGCTCCTCCCGGACATGAGATTCCTGGATCTTGTGCACACTCTCAGTGTTGCTATTACAGTGTCATGTGATTCTTGTACTTTATGATTTATACTGCCAAAATTTTCTCCATAACGAGTGTACCGATTGTACTCGCATTGTGAGCAGATGAAAGTATCTTTTCTTCTCACAAACTCTTGATCTAGTTAAATCTCAATGTTTCCTATGTTTTAGGAGGGGAATGAAGATGGTGCCTCTGTATTGTTTTAATTAATTTTCATTTCCCTGGTTTCTAGCAAAGTTGAGCTCTTTTCATGGACTTATGGGTAATAAAATAACCTCTTGTGTTATTTCAATTGCAGTAAAAAACATGTAACATTTACCATTTTAAGTGGACAGTTTAGGAGTGTTAAGTGTATTCAAATTGTTGTGCAACAGATCACAATAATTTTTTCATCTTTCTTATATTGTAGTACAAATCCATTCTCCATCATATGTTTCTCAACCCAGAGTCTCTTGTTTACGGAATTTTTTGTCTGATTATCATTTAAATTTTGTTACCAAATTTATCTCAAGTAATGATTCAGGGCTTGCATTTAAGAAATCCTTCCCTGGGTCATATTAAACTGAATGTTTGTGTACCCCTCCCAATCCATTTGTTGAAACTACATTAAAATATCTATTGATACAGAAAAAGCTTTCGAAAAATGAAACATCCACTCACAATAAAAACTCTCATCAGACTAGGAAAGGAAAGGAACTCCCTCAATCTGAGAAGAGGTATACACAAAAACAGACAGCTAGTATCAGCTTGATCTGTGCCCCAGGTACCGGATGTGCCCTCACCGATGAGGGCTGGGGCTTTGATGAGCACCCAACCTCCTCGCAGGGACAATTCTGAAAGATGCTCTGCACATTCTTGAGTCCCCAGCAGGGTGGGCCTCCAACTGCCCACAGGGGACCTGCATGTTAACGTTCCTTGTCTTACCAACCTGGCTTGATTCCTGGGGTCACCTCGTAGATGACTGAGGCAGCTTTGGGAGGAACCAAACCCCCGCACTGTCTGTATGTCTCCGTCTCAGTGAAATGTCCCCGTCCCTGTCCCCTCTACATCCATTTCCAGTTGACTCTACATTGCCACCTCTTGGTTTCTATCCTCCTCCAACTCTCAATTCTCTGTCTCTGTCTGCCACCCTTGAGCCCCCAAGAGAGTGCGAAGATCCATCTCCTACAGGCGGCGTCTACCCTGGCAGCCAGACTCGGGCTCCGGGGCGGGTACTCGCAACTCCGACGGCGTTCGCTCCTCCCGGCCACAGGGAGCGCTGTGGGGGTGGGGCGTTGGCCGGGCGCGGATCCCAGCGTGCACCGCGCCAGGGCGGGGTTGCGCGGCGGGGCGGAGCGGGAGGTGGGAGTCGGTGGGCGGTGGCGGCGGGGGCGGTTCTGTGGCTCAGCCGTGGGGGGCCGGGCCGAACTGCGAAAGGCAATGGCTGCACCGGCTCCGGTAAGAGGGGTCCCTCGCGCGGGCGCCCAGGTGCAGAGCGGGTGCTCGGTCTCCGTTTGGCTGGCCGGCGGCGGGCAGGTGGGGCGCCGTCTGGGGTCGCGCCAGACTCCAGCTGTGGGGTCCGTTCCTGGACGGAGCCGGCGACCGCCGCTCGTGGCGCTGGTCCGTGGGTAACCACCTGAACGAAGCCGAGCGTGGAAGGGGCAGACCCAGGCGCGGGCCGGGGGCTCCCGGGCGCGCGGGGGGCGGACAAGGAAAAGGACGGAAGGCGGTCTGGGGACGGCGACATGTATTCCAGTTCAGCCAGCTTTCGTTGTCGAATCCAGAACAGATGTTTTAAAAGATTTAAGGTTCTGCGTGGGTGAAGCGATGTTTGGCAGCGGCTTAAATGTCAGAATTCAGCCGCTAACGTGTTAAAGTTTGTGTTGAGTATAAGAAGGAAGGAGGAGGATGAGAACGCTGGAAGAAGTAGAAGAGGACATAAAAAGTGGAACACATTATTTCATTAGTGTTTTAGTGTTTTGTTGAAGCCGAGGTTTAGAAGGAGTGGGTCATTATTTTTATTGTTTTCCTATGTAAACTTCGTGTTGAGCGTTTTTGCTGATTCCTAAACGAATTTATGGTCATTAATTTAAAAATAACCGTTAATCTCAAAAGACGTAATTGCTTGGGTTAAATGTAGAACATATAATGCGGTACATTAATAGAGGAAATGATAGATAAAAGGGAGCTAATCCGCTTTTTCCATTTGGGGGGAAACACACAGGTAATCACTGCTGCATATCATTAAAAAATTACATTTTATGTAAATTAAAAATACAAACAAAAAAGTGAAACTTCAGCCTTTCGGAAGAAAATGTAGCATATCTTTGTAACCTCAATGTAGAAAAGGATTTCATAAAACACAGAAAGCAAAATAACCGAAGAAAAAATGGATCTATTTACATAAAAATAAAAACTTTATGTCTAGTCTAAGACAGCATAAATAAAATGAAAAGATTTAGTCACACTAGGAGAAAGCATTTGCAGCCTAAGGTAGTTAACACTCAATGTTCAAATTATATAAAGAAACCCGAGAATCGAACGGACAGGTGACCTAGTAAAAATACAGGCAAAGGATATGCACAGGCAGTTCACAGAGCTGAAAACAGCGAGTGGGCAGTGGTTAAAAGAATGGGTAAAAACTGTGACATTCAGACAACAGAACTCCATACAAAACACAATAAATCTGTTCTCTATCAAAATGGACAGATTTCAGAATACTGAATGGAAAATGCAAGTTGCAGTATAATAAAGGATTTTTGTATAAAGACAAAACAATAGTTTATATTATAGATATGTATGCATATTAAAAATTAAAAACATGACCTGAGAAGTTAGCACAGTCATCCTACTGTCTGCTTCTCAGAAGGGAGGAGACCAGGGCTGAGTGTAAGAACAAGATTGAAGGGGAGGCCAAGAGGACTTGAGCTTCATCTGTTTTAATAACAGGGAATTTGATGAAAAAATATTAAATTTACCAAACCCATGGTAAATACAAGGATATTTGTTATAATGTTCTGTGATTTTTCTGGATCTTTTAAGCTTTTGGAAATTGAAGTCAATAAACAATGAAGGCTTTTTGAACATTTTTGAAAAACATTTATTTAAAAGTAGGGAATTGCCCTGTCCGGCATGGCTCAGTGGATTGAGTGCTGCTGACCTGTGGACCGAGAAGTTGCTGGTTTGACGTTCCCAGTCAGGGCACGTGCCTGGGTTGCGAGCTGAGCTGTTTCTCTCACACATCACGTTTCTCTCCCTGTCCTTCTCCCTCCCTTCCCCTTTCTCTAAAAATAAATAAATAAATAAATAAAATCTTTTTTTTTTTTAAGTAAGGAATTTACAGAGAAGAGGAGAGTAAGTATATTTAACACAGAGATAAACACACGAATTTGGTTCTGCTATACTACTTCACATGCATTTCTAAAAATCACAGTGCCAGGCAAAAATCATGCAATAAAAACCATAGCTTATGGGAGAAATGGTGTTAGGCACACAACACTCGAAAAGTTTGTCGGTGTAGGCCCTGCCTGGGTGCCCGACCTGGCTGGAGCGTCCCCAGTTTGGTTCCCAGTCAGGGTGCGTGCGACAATCCACCACTGAATGCATGAATGGGTGGAGTATGAATTGATGTTTTTCTCTCTCAAATCAGTTTTTTAAAAACTGTCGGCTGCATGTTAAAAAGAAAAGATAGGAGCTTTGGCCAGGTAGCTCAGTTTGTTAGAGCGTTGCCCCATTGTGGGTTTGCTCCCCAGTCAGGACACATATAAGAATCAGCCAATTAATGCATAAATAAGTGGAACAACAAAACCATGTTTCTCTCTCCTCCTTTCCCCTCTCTAAAATCAATTTGAATTTAAAAAAAAAACAAACAAAAATTGCTCTTGTTGGTGTGGCTTAGTGGATTGAGTGCGGGCTTGCAAATGAAAGGGTTGCTGGTTTGATTGCCAGTCAGGGCATGTGGCTGGGTTGCAGCCAGGTCCCCAGTAGGGGGAGCGTGAGGAGCAACCACACACTGATGTTCCCCTCCCTCCTTCCCCCTCGCTCTAAAAATAAATAAGTGTGTATTTTTTAACCCCCCAAAATAAAAGAGGAACCTAATAAAAACAGTTTTATGCATGTTAAATGACTAATAAATAGTTTCCTTTAAAACTATCTGAAATTTGCTTGTGGAAGTGGGTGGAAGAGGCGGTGGGGCTTGTGAGTTGTGGTCAAGTAGTGGAAGGAAGATTATCTGAAATCAGATGGAAAGTTGTAACACCAGGTGTGGAAAGGTAGGGCTGGTCACACAGGGTCATGTAGGTACTTGAAGGGTATTCATGTGTGCATTTTGGGTATTGCTACTCAGTCTATTCTCACAGTAGCAACTAAAACTCTTAAAAATTGCTAGTGATGAACCGATCAAGAATTATATAATATCTGTATTAAGAGAACTGTAAGTTTTATTAAAGCACATTAAATATCTAGATAAGTGAAAGATACAGCATGTTTCTGGGTGGGAAAATTCCATAGTTTAGAGATCCAGTTCTCCCAAAATTAATCCATGTGCTCAGTGTATTCTTATCAAGGTCCCAATAGAATTTATGTAAGTTTGACAAACTTTTTTCTATTTATGTAGAAGGGAAAATGGACAAGATAAGTCACTTTTTACATTTCCTATAAAAAATTATGGAGGTGGTAGTAGATGGCCACGCCCCTTTTAATAACAAAATATTCTATAAAACTGTGAGAAATAGTGCAATATTGGAACAAGAATAGGCAGATTCACCAGTGGAACAAAAATGTACCCAAGTATAAATGGAAAACTAGTTTGTGAAAAAACAATCCCAAATCAATGGTAAAAGAACAGACTATAAAATAAATTTTGTGTGTTGAATATCATTTGGAAAAAGAATTATGTCCCTTTTTGTTATGATACGCAGAAATAAGTTTCATGTGGGAAAAGTCTCATTTTGATAAAGCTATAAAAACATTATGTAGAATTCAGGAGAATATCATTTACAATCCTAGAACAGACCTGGCTTCCAAATCTGGATACTAAATGTTGATGTTACAAAAGAGGTACTAACAAGTACAGTAATATTTTTTTTTAAAAAACCATACTTTAAGAAAAGATGCAAAACTTATCTTTATTTGAGAATTATTATTGCATCATACCAAAAACTCAATACTATTAGGATTGATAAACAAATATGCTACATTAATTAGGTACGAAGTAAGTTAACAAAAATCACTGCTTTTTCAGTCTAGTAATAATGATTTGAGGTGACAGATGTGTCCCCTTTGCAGTTGTTGGAAGAATCACAGAAAACCAATAATAAAGTTAATAAAGAGTCAGAACATTTATGAAGAAAATTCTTAAGTTTATTAAAGAGTTTCAAGCAAGACCAAATAAAGGGAGTGGTAGAACATGGTACTAGATGAGACCAATCTTTCCTAAATACGTATATAAATTTAATACAACTCAAACAATCCCAGTATGCTTTTTTAAGAAATTATTTTGGAGTTGATAAGGAAGAATAAATATTCTAGAAAGTCACAACAGTAGGTTGGGAAAGAAAAGGGAATGGAGGAGGATGTGCGCCTCCAGAATTACAGTGTTGCATAGGTACTGGAACAGGTACATACAGGTGGTTTAACAGAACCTGTAGGTTCACGTATATGAAAATCTAATACAATTGACCCTTGAACAACATGGGTTTAAACTGCACGGGTCCACTTTTACTTGGATTTTTTTTTTCAATAAATATACCATTGACTGTCCATATCCCTGGGTTTTGCGTCTGTGGATCCAATTAACTACAGTGAAAAACGGCATTTTTGATCTTCACGTGGGAATCTGCAAGTGCAGGGGGCCAACTTAGGCCTTGTTCTGTACCATTTTATATAAGAGTCTTGAGTATTTGTGAATTTTGGTATCCATGGGGGGTCTTGGAACCAAGTCCCCGTGGATACTGAGGGATGACTGAAGTTTTGGTGAAGTAAAAAGTTACGCACAGTTTTTGCGCTGCTTGGGAGCTGGTACGCCTGACTGTAACCCCTGGGTATTTTGAGGGTCAGCTGTATATGCAAAGGCTGAAGGTTGGTATTTCAATCTGTGGAGAAAGATTGGTGTATTTGATAGTGCTTTGTGATTGGCACTCCGTATGTATGTAAATAAAGATGCCAATCGTATCTATAGAAGTAAATTGCAATTCTAAATGTTAAAAAAATTAATAGAATATTTGTATAAACTTTTGGTGTGGGAAACACTTAAAATGAAAGAAACCTGGAAACAGTATGGAAAAGATGTAGATTTTTAAAGGAAAATCAAAATAGAAGATAAAGTCAAATTACAGTTGATACACTAGGAGAAAACGTTTGCTAGTCAAAGACTTACTAACTCTCATAGAAGAGTAGGAGAGGCCACTAGACCACTGAACAAAGGAGATGGACAGACATGCATGAAGATATGTGGACCCCCCCAAAAAAAATAGTATGAGAAGAATGCTAAGCCTCACAGATTAATACATATTAAAACAGTGAAATACAATTTTTTTACCCATCACATTGGCAAAAAAAATAGTAAGTCTTAAGGACATTCTGTGCTGGTAGAGATATTAATGACACATTTCACCTTATTAGCAAGGGTGAAAGTGCTGGAATCTTTTTGGAATGTGGAAGGGGTTGTATTCACAGCAGAGCCACATACCTGGAGCAGAGGAGGAGCCGCTCCTCAGGGAAAAGCAGCCAAACAGGCAAAAGCAGTGTTCGCTCCCCAAGTCTTTTCAATGATGAGAAGGAGCTGGAGTCATTTCGAAGCAATCCTGACCGTGTGTCATGTACATAATTTCAGGTGCCTCTGACTTTTGAGGATATTGCCATCTACTTCTCGGAGCAAGAATGGCAGAATCTAGAGGCCTGGCAGAAGGAGCTTTACAAGCATGTGATGAGAACCAATTACGAGATTCTGGCTTCTCTAGGTAAGAAGATTTCAACTTGGTGGGTAAGTCTGGAACTGGGTACTGGAAAAGGGCTCGATCACTTGATGTTCCTATTTGTCACTTAGCCAGAATTCTCAGACATTAACTCAGCAAGGCACTTGCACCCCATATCCTCCTGTTAATAGTTTAGTCGGCGCCGCTACCGCTCACTCGGGTAGACATTGTTACGTGAGGGTGTTTGGGACAGCATGGAAGGAGCGGTCAGGGGCGACTAAACAAGTCTTTCAGGGCATTTAGTCACTACGCACGCTCAGGTTCTGGGATTGTCCACACAGGCACAGGCCTGGTCATAGCCAAAAAGTACCTGGATACTTGGCCTTGGGTGTTCGAGTCTGTCAGCTTTTCTGGTGGTGTCCCTGTGCCTCTGAAAAGCTGACGTTCCGTGCCTGGCGGCGAGGCAGGCTGTCCACTGAGGTGTTGGGCAGCAGCTGTCGCTGCATGGTTGTGGGGATGGGTGTTCTTTTTAGTGTTGCTGCTCACAGGGTCTTTATATTTCTTTTTATTATCAATTCTTTTTTAATCAGGCCTTTCAGAAAAGCATCAAATGATAAAATTTTCTTGCTTCATGCTTACCCCCTCACTCAATTCCCCAAAGGCAAACACTTTTAACCATTTCTATTCTACTTCTTACTGTGGTTTCCTTCAGTCTATGTAACTGCCATGCCTACACCTGTTTCTCAATTTACCACGTTTACACAGCATTAGTGAACTCGTTACCATGAAAAATGAGGCATGTTCTCACTTATGCTATCATTCTTCTGTATCCTTTTCCCCTTTCTCCCCAGATTTTGGTAGTTTTTTTCATGCCTTTATAACTTAAATAATGAACTCTAGATTATGGGCCTTCAACTTTACACCGCTTGCCTCCTTTAGCGCATGAAGATAAGGTAGGCAGTTCTCCTATACTTCTTCCACCTCTCCTGCCAGCTCCTGACAGCCATACCATTTCCTTTACATTGTAAGGTTTCAAATGCTTATGTTTTGTTTCATTACTATAATTTTTCCAGGCTCTATCTATAGAGTGTTTCTGAAACATATAAACTAAGATGTTGCATTAATGTATTTTTATTATTACTAAAGAACCAGTTATTGAGTCTGTAGAGAAATAAATATAATCTTATGTGATTAACCATGTGCCACCTGAAGAGAATATTCTAAGCATCAAACTCAAGTGGATGTGAAGTGATGTGTCCTTGGGTTGTGGTCTGCACTTCCTTAATGGCTTTCCATGTTGGGCATCTTTTTTGTTTTTTTACCTTTGGAGAAATGTCTATTAAAATATTTTGCCCATTTTTACATTGGACCATTTGTCTTTTTATTGTTGAATTATAATTGTTCTCTATTTGTTTGCATACTGGGCCTTTATCAGATACATGATTTGCAACTATTTTCTCCATTCTGTGGGTTTTCTTTTCACTTTTTCCTGGTGTCCTTCGAAGCACAAAAATGTTCAATATTAATGAAGTCTAGTTTCTTTTTCCTTTTGTTGCTTGAGTTTTTAGTGCCGTATCTAAGAAACCGTTGCCTAATCCAAAGTCACAGAGATTCACTCCTATGTTTTCTTCTAGGGGTTTTAGAATTTAAGCTCTTACATTTAGGTCTTTGACCTGGTTTGAGTCTGTTTTCCTATATGGTATGAGGTAGGAATCCACTTTGGCCTATGACTGTCCCATTGTCCCAGCACCATTCTTTGAAACGACAATTTTTTTCCCCTATTGAATTCTCTTAGCACCCTTTTAGAAAATCAATTGGCCATAAATGTCCATTTATTTCTGGATTCTGAGTTCTATATTTTATCAATCAGCAGGCCTATCTTTATGTCACTACCATGCTATTTTGATTCCTGTTGCTGTTAGGATCAGTTTATTAATTTCTACCCTCACCATTCACCCCCTTCCCCATTCCCACCAGAAAAAAAAACCATATTGGATTTGGGGAATAGTGTCATCTTAATGCTAAATTTTCCAATTTATGAACATGGAATATACTTTAATTTATTGGGACTTTAAATTTTTGTCAATATTTTACAGTTTTTATTATACAGGTCTTGCATTATTAAATTTATTTCTAAGTGTTTTACTCTTTTTGTTGATATGTAAATGAAGATTGTTTTGTTTATTTTGGGGGAAATACTTTTATTTTTTAAAATGTTCCACCCGAGGATGTATTTATTGATTGCAGAGAAAGAGGAAGGGTGGGGTGGGGGAGAGAGAGATCTGTGTGAGAAACATGGATTTCAGTTACCTCCTGTATGCACCCCAGCTGGGATGGGATCCACAACCTAGGTGTGTGTCCTGACAGGGAATCAAACCGCAGCCTTTTGGTGCAGGGGATGATGCTCCAGGCAGCTGACCCACCCAGCCAAGGAAAAATATGTTTATTTTAAAAGCTGCTAGAAGTTCGACCCAGATGAAGATTGATAACAGGTGTATGGGTTTAAATAAAAGATAGTGATTTCTTTTTTCATGAGAGCAGGCTTAGAATTCTGTGGGTGTTGCAGTCAGATTCCCAAGGGCTGACGAGGAGTCTGGAGCGTGTGCGATGAATCCCCACCTGTGCTGTGCCCGTCTGACTCCTGATCCCCGCGGCATTGCCCAGCTTCCTCTTCCTCTGGTCTGGACCATCCACTCATCGTCTTTAGCCATCTATGAAGCACACTTTGGGTTGTATTAAATACATATATTATTGAAAGAAAGTTTTACTTGAAAATACAGAGAGTAAACATTTCTTACAGGGTAATGAGGACATGTAATTAGAGACTCTTGAACTGTTTTAATTCATTCATCTCATTCACGGTAACCCCTTCTGTACTAGCAGAACTCAGCCATGTTGTAGGTTGTCATCAGCACTGTCACTAGAAGTAATTCTGAGAGTATTCTTGCTGGAGTCACCTACTTTGAAATTCCTAGGACAGCCATTCCAGTTCTTATTATTGTTTATACCCTTCCTCCCATGGATCTCCAGTTTTCTCAGCGGCTCTCCCACCATTCTTAAAGGACACTACTAGTGAGCTTTGTAAAATCCATGACCAACTACAGCATTGCTAGATAGATGAGAGCAAAGCAAAATTAAATTAACACAGTTCATCTAACAGGTCCAGATATCTTATCTCATGTTATGTGTGGGAAATTTTGCTCTTCTTTGTGTAAATCTGTAATTTTTTTTTTTGACACCTCTTCTCATGCATTGTCCTGAGTTAATTTTAAGAGATTTGAAAACAACTCAGTATGCTTTAAATGTCACACTCAAAGAAACCGAGCTCCTGTTTGGCTTCTCTGTACAGATGGCGGACTTCCCAAACCAGAGCTGATATCCTGGATTGAAGAGGGGACAGAGCTCTTCAGGGAGTTAAGAGAACCACAGAAATCAGGAAACATAATTCACAACTGTGCTGATTTGCATTTTGATCCAGTTATTGAGGGACAGGAGTTTTGGAGTAAGTATAAAGAAATCAGGGTCCTGTCCTTAAGATGTCACATTAAGGTTTCTCAGTTCTAATTCTCTGATCTTGTTGTCATCTTTGGCTGGGCTGAGGCTTGCTCTCTGGTGTATTCTAGAAAAAGGCAGTTAGCATAGTAGTTAGGGATGTGGGCTCTGGAGCCTGAGTCCGGATCTTGCCTTTTCTGGTGACCTTGGACAAGTTATTCAACCCCTTGGGATTTCATCCTCTAACCTATAAATGGCAGCTAATAAAAGTACCCATGTTATAGTCCAGTGTTACAATGCTGCCCAACACAGAGTGAGAGCTCAGCAAGTGTGGGCCAGTCTTAGGAGTGGGTGGGGGGAAAACTGCTCCCTTCCCTCTGGAGACTGTCAGCTCTGTTTGAACCGCTAAGTCTTAGCTCTCCCCTCATTTCTTGTCCTGATGCAGAGTCTGAGACTCTCAGATTCCTCAGAATTAGCATTAGGTATGGAATGAGAGAGTCAGTGGGGACATTGTTCAAAGAAATCTGGTCAGTAGTTTGTTTAGCTTTTAGCAGCCGCCATCTGGAGAGTAAAAGTTTTTCTCCACAGATTATTTCGTTTATTGCATTCATTTCATCTGTTACTCTTTCAAGAAAACTTTTTTAAAAGATCAGAAAGAGTAGTGTGAAGAGGATCAGAGACAAGGCTTTGCTGCCTGGCCTAGGGACAGTGCGTGCATTAGGCAGAGCCTTGGGTCAATCAAGGCCTGTCAGTAACACCCCTGTTGCCCCTCCTTGACTCCAGGAGTGTCTGCACATCAAAATGGGGAAAGCCTGATGTTCCTGAAGTCATGACAGTGGTGAATGCTTACAGAGCAGGCGCAGCACGCCAGGCCTGTGCCGAGCGCTCTGCACACATTAGCCCTGCAGTTCTCGCGGCCATCTTATCGTCCCCGTTTCTACAGACGGAGGACCTGAAGCCCAGAGAGATTAGCTTGACAGAAGCTGCAGTGGACACACGGCATTTGCCCCTGCATTTGTGACCTGTGTTTTCCTCTTGTCAGTATCATTCTAAGAAAACAAGTTCAGTGTAGTTTCAGCAGACTCTTGCCAAATCCCGGGTCATGAAAGAGAGCCAACTGAAGTGTAGCCCGAGTGCAGCTCAGTGGAAACTCGGTTCGCAGGCCACCACAGTTCACTGTTATGGGTCACTTTAGTGGCGACATAAGGCATTTAGTCATGCCGTAGACATGAATTTTGACTGAATTTTCGGTTTTAATTTCAGGAAGCCAGCAAGCTGTGAATTCAGGAGAATCTGAACACCGTTTCCAGGTAGATTCTCCTGAGAGCCCGTGCTCCTCTGAACCCTTACTGGGAAAAAGTGAAGATGTTTCCTTCAGGCCTGACCAAGGCATCGCCCTCGTGGAGCCGGACAGACGCGGTCCGCCAGCTCTACGCCCAGCAGTCCGCCGTTCCCGGGAGCTTCCGCACAGAGAAAGAATCCCGGACCGCAGCGCTCGGGGTTCCCTGGGCTCCCAGGGAGCGCCCTCCGGGGAGGGCGCCCAGCCCCCTCGCCCTGCCTGCAGGGAAAGCTGTTGGAAGGACCCCTTGGAGAAGCACCACAGGAGCCACTCGAAGGACCAGCCGTGTGGGGCCTGGGAGAAACTCGGCAAAGAAGCCGAGCCCCAGCACCAGCGGAGTACCCCTGCGGCACAGAGGCACTTCCGCTGCCACGAATGTGGGAGGAGCTTCCGCCTGAAGCGGGATCTGCTTAGACATCTGACCGCGCACGCAGGGCAGAGCCCGTTGCAGTGTCCTGACTGGAACGTGTGCCTCCCTCACAAGCGGGCCATTCTCAGCCACCACCTCCCGTGCCAGGGGCAGAGGCCTTCCCAGCGCCCCAGATGTGACATGAGCTTCCCCCCGAACAACAGCGTGCAGGCTCCCCAGGGCCAGCGCAGCAGGGTGAGGCCTGGCTTGTGCAGAAACAGCGCCGGGCCCTTGGAGCCCAGCAGCGAGCACTCTGGGGAGAGGCCGGGCCCCTGTCCAGCTCGGGAGGCCCGCTGCCACCTGACGGGGGGCATGGAGGTCGTCCTCCAGCGCCGCCCCGCCAGGGAGAGGCCATTCTGTTGCATGGAATGTGACCAGTGCTGCTCCACCAGGGCCAAGCTCGCCAGCCACGTCAGGCTGCACGCAGGAGACGAGCCCTTCCCGTGCCTGGAGTGTGACAGGAGCTTCCGCCGGGGCGGCCCGCTGAGGGCCCACCAGCAAGGGCACGGTGGGCGGCGGCCCTTCTCCTGCAGGAAATGTGGCAAGGCGTTCGGCAAGCAGTGCAAGCTCACCGAGCACGCGCGGCTGCACAGCGGGGAGAAGCCCTTTTGGTGTGGCGAGTGTGGCCGGAGCTTCCGCCAGCGGGGGCAGCTGCTGAGGCACCAGCGTCTGCACACGGACGAGAAGCCCTTCCAGTGCCCTGAGTGCGAGCGGAGCTTCCGTCTGAAGAGCATGCTGCGAGCCCACCGGCTGCGGCATGGCGGGGAGCGGCCGTTCTCCTGCGGTGAGTGCGGACGCGGCTTCACCCACCAGTGCAAGCTCCGCGAGCACCTGCGCGTGCACAGTGGGGAGAGGCCCTTCCGGTGCCCCGAGTGCGGCAAGAGCTTCCGCCTCAAGGGCATCCTGAAGGCCCACCAGCGCACCCACAGCGCCGAGCGGCCGTTCTCGTGTGTGGAGTGCGGCAAGGGCTTCACCAGGCAGTCCAAGCTCACCGAGCACCTGCGCGTGCACAGCGGGGAGAGGCCCTTCCAGTGCGCCGACTGCGACAGGAGCTTCCGCCTCAAGGGCCAGCTGCTGAGTCATCAGCGCCTGCACACAGGCGAGAGGCCTTTCCAGTGCCCCGAGTGCGACAAGAGCTACCGCGTGAAGGCTGACATGAAGGCCCACCAGCTGCTGCATGGCGGGCAGATGCCCTTCTCCTGTGAGTGTGGCAAAGGCTTTGCGAAGCAGTCAAAACTCGTCGAGCACATCAGGACGCACACGGGGGAGAAGCCCTTCCAGTGTCCCAAGTGTGACAAGAGTTTCCGCTTGAAGGCACAGCTGCTCAGCCACCAAGGCCTGCACACAGGGGAGAGGCCTTTCCACTGCCCCGACTGTGACAAAAGCTTCCGGGAAAAGGGACACATGCTTAGGCACCAGCGCATACATAGGCCAGAAAGGCCATTTGCCTGTGGCGACTGCGGCAAGGGCTTCATTTATAAGTCTAAACTTGCTGAACACGCCCGCGTGCACGCAAAATCCTGTCGCGCTCCGAGTGGGCCTGACATTCAGAAACGGCTCAGCCAGCTGTTTGCGATGATCGAGGCCGACTGGAGCTGAGTCGGAGCCACGGGGGCCCAAGCGGCCGGCGGGTGCATAGCGCCTGGGGAGTGCGTCAGCAAGAGCCAAACCCACCGCTTCAGGAGATTTAGGGACCAGCCATTTTTTGAGCAAGAATGTAATGTACGTTAGAAATATGAGAAACCATAAAGGGTTTTCTTTGTTAAATCACTACGATTATATTTCCTGCCCATAGAGACATTTGTTCTTCCGGCCGTCTTAAACTGTAACCCGCCCCACCCCCCCGCCCCGTCCAGCCCCCCACAAATGCTTAGTCAGCTTTGAAATCCCAGCTTGAATTTCAACAGGAAATCCCTCCAGCACCTTTTTTTGTAGTATGATCCTAAACCGGGGATTTAAATCCAGTGAATTTTGTTGCAGGCCTAATAGATGTTAGATTTGGTTTAGATTGATATTTGGAAACATAATAATAAAATGAGCTCTCCAAATCATAGTATATGTGAGTGCTGAAGTTCACGGCAGGTTCCATGATGACCATGCATAGCTTCCCCCAAGGAAAAGCTGGTAATTTCTGCAAAATTTTGGCTAATCTGAGTTGAAGAAACGTAAAACTGAAGGTACCAAGATGTATGGGACTAGAATTTAGATAAAAGTTCAGGAAAGGAGGTGTTGATTTGGGAGTTCAGAACAGAGACGCTCTTTGAAGCGGAACAAATGAATGAGATTCCTGTTCATGGACAGAGTGACTGAGCAGATGACTAAAATCCAAGTTCAGATAAAATAACCGGCAGCAACAGCTTAGTGGGGAGAGTTTTCAAGCAAATGCTATAGTAAACACAACACAAGCAGAAATCAAGGAAAATGCCGTACTTGGTATATTAGGTGACGGTTCCATGAGCACAGAATGTTTGTGCTTCAGGGAGGGGATTGTATTTCACACCAAGGATTCCTGACTTTCAAAGGGTTCATGCTTCATGTCACGGAATGGCTGACCGGAAAGTCTGAGGGATGACAGAAAGTGAGAAACTGCCCGTAAACTCTAACGGACATTTATGAAACTGTATCATAGGCAATTTTCTGTGGAACACTAGCTTCAAAGATTATATATATATATATATAAATTACCTGGCCAACTAGTTTTAAATAAAGTTGAACAACTTTCTCAGACCCCCACACACAGTCCATATGACTCTCCAACAGGAAGACATAATGTGAAGTTATTTTGGATATACTTGATTTTGTGACCCTTTTCTTTCTTTTTTCCTAAACATATACTGTGATCTGTGGCTCTTCTACAGAACTCATTTTGGGAAACATTATTAAAGAAGAGTCCTGGCTCCAGCAAAGTAACCCTTAGTCTGTGAAGAAGAATGAGAATCCTGGGAAATGAGGTTTTGGGTTTTGGAGAACAAAGAAAACAGATCTTTAAGTCACATTGAACTTTAATAGTTTTAGAGTACCCTCTTTGCCTCAAGTGATGGGATACTAACAAGGGTGATTGGTAATATTGAGAGATTGTATCACTTAGGCAGGTTTATGGTCACACAGAGACACATTGATGTCAGTTGTTTTTGCAGGGTAGCCAACCTCAGAAAGGGTGAAGAGAGATTCAACAATGTAGCAAAGAAGGGGCGTGACCTGGTCCAGAGGTACACCGGTCTGGGGACGCTGGAGGAAGACACTGACTGAACCAGGTAGTGGTTTTGAGGGAGACTGAAAGCCAGGGACTCTAGGCTGGTGTTCTCTTAGACTGTATGTTATAAATGAAGGATCTCAGAGGTAGTAAAAGATCCAGAGTATTTGAATTTTGTTAAAAACTGGAAGTGTTTTGGAGGAAGTTGAAAAAAAGGATAAGACCCAACTAAACCCAAGTGCCCCAGGTTGCTCACACTAAAAATGAAAAAGATACCAATACCAGAGTGGTGTTTAAAGAACAAAGGGACTTTGGGAAACAAGGTGGCATAAGCACAGGTTCATGAAACTTCCCTTCCTATCCTGCCCCAATTCCTAAAAGGAAAAATCAATGCTGAGATATCCCGGTGCAATCCCAGACCTTCAAGAATAAGAAAGGATGCATACACCGCCCCCCCCCCCCTCCTCTGCCAAGCATCCCATCTACAAAGGAATAGTAAATCTGACTGGCCCAACAATGAAGATTCTATTAAAGGGACAGCTTGAAAGAAAAAAAATCCCATTAAAATCATTATGGAATGTGTTGTATTATTGAGTACCTAAAACACTGAAGAAAATCAGCTAAGTAACCATTACAAGTAAAAGAAAAAGAAAAGATCCTATTCACAAAGACTAGTCACTGTCTCACTTCAAGATAGGACCAAAGCACAAGCTCACATTTGTCTCTTCTGCTTCTCAACATTCCATTAAAATTACAGTAAAAGGGTTTTTAAAGATTTTATTTATTTTTAGAGAGGGGTAGGGAGGGAGAAGGGGAGGTGGGAGAGAGGGAGAGAAACATCAATGGGAGATCAGTTGCCTCTCACAGGCCCCCAGCTGGGAACCTGGCCTGTGACCCAGGCATGTGCCCTGACCGGGAATCAAACCAGTGACCTTCGGGTTCACAGGCCAGCACTCAATTCACTGAGCCACACCAGCCAGGGCAAGGGATTTTTTTAAGGCTGTATATCCACAACAATGAAGAAAATTCAGATGAGACCATCATCAGATCAGAAATTTCAAGAGGTTTCAGCAAGTCATTGGAAGAAGGTTATCTAATGAAGTGGAGCAGAATTGCCACACCAGGACCAGACAAAGGGGACTGATGAAGAGGATATTGATTTTCCTAGCAGCATTCAACCTGGGGAACCAGGCAGGAGAGAGGCCTGGAACCAGGGCAATTAATTACCTAAGACCCCCACTCCATCCACTCCCATTGCCCCCACAAGCATAGGGAGAATGTCAGCTAGGTATTTACCTTAAAAGGAGGAAAAGGAAATGAACAGCCTCTGGAAATCAGTAAAACAGTTGGTGTATTATCGGAGATAAAAGCCCTCCTCATTCTAGCACTTAGAAGACTCCTAACAACCAATCACCCTAAAGTAAACTCACACAAGATACACACTTACACACAAAGAACCTAATCAGTTAGTCTGCTGTTGCATTCTTAGTATGGAGGGGCAAGGATTGTCAGACATTTGGGAAAAAACTTACATGAAAGAGAAAAACCAAAACAAGCAAAGGGAAAAATTGTATAACAGACAAATCATATATAATTCAGAACATCAAAACTAAGAACTCTAATAATATTCAGAAAAATTGGGGAAAGCACTGTTATTATAAAACAAGAACATAATGTTATGAAAAAGGAAGCTTCTGGAAACAAAAGCAAGTTCTAGGAAGATAAAAGTAATTGCCAAAAAAACAACAAAAAACCCATCTCATACTGGGATTAAAGAAATTTCCCAGAAAATAGAAACCAGGATTGTTAGATCCTGGTAGAAGAAAGGAAATGGAAGAAAATGAATTGTACAAATACTAGCCTTTTGCCCATTTTTCTATAGAATTTGTGATCCTTTTATTTCAGTTTGTAAAAAGCTTGTCTATATCTTAATTATATGTGCACATATGGTGTAAACATTGAGGGAAGAGTGGGAAAAAGAAGTCAAGCAAATCAAGGGGAAAGAGTACACCAAAAAAATCCCCTGAGAAATTTAGAATTATAGGGAGCAGAAGGATTTTTTTTCCCCACTCTAATGTTATACGTGAGGAGACCAAAGCCACAGTAGTGTCTCTTCTGCAGCCGCATACTCAGTGGCTGGGCTGGGACTCTGGGGAGGTCTCCTGACTCCAGGACAGCAGATTCCACTGTGCTGAATCGCAAATCCAGGAAATGCATGTTCTGTGAATAAAAAATACCAGGTGCTTAAAAGCAGCACTGCTACCTAAGCTGAAGGGCAAAAACTACTACAAAGGAAAAAGAACAAAGAAAACCACAGTGTTCTGTGTAAAAATCACACAGGCCTAGGGAGACAATTAGCATCTTGAAGATACCAAGATTCATCATAAAAGGGGTTCTTTTTTATTTATTTATTTTTTATATTTTTAAAATCCACCTGAGGATATGTTTTTAGAGAAGGGAAGGGGGAGAGGGCGGGGGGGAAACATGAACGTGAGAGAGAAACATCAATCGGTTGCCTCCCATACATGCCCTGACCAGGGATCAAACTCCCAACCCAAGGTTTTGCCCTGACTGGGAATAGAGACCACAACATTTTGGTGTACGGGATGATGCTCCAACCAACGATGCTCCAGCACCCAGCCAGGGCAAAAGGATTCTTTTTAAAAAGGGAGCAGAGAAATCGGCAGTAGCTGGAAAGGTTTTTGTGCTGTCAATACTATAGCATGTTTGCATGTTATTGGGAGAGGATCCTGCAAAAGGAGGAAACTGATGATGTAATAAATAGGAAAGATAGGAGGAATGACCTTTGATGGGCAAGGGACACTTTCCTACAGTAACTGGAGCACCGGAGGAGGGAATAAGATGGCCACTCCCACTATCCCTGGCTTAGCTGCAGGAGAATGGGGAGTTCACATCTGATGGCTTCCATTGTCTCCATGTTACATGAGGCGAGGTCATTAGCGAAGATACTGGGTTGGCCAAAAGGTCTGTATGGTTCTTTCTGTAAAATGAAAGACCCAATTTGATCGCTATCGACTTCAACTGGTCTACCCAACCTGGGAGCATCATCCCGCAAGAAATCTCCAGCATGCAACTTTGCAAGCCACTTTTGACACATTCACTCAGTCACAGCACCTTCTCCGTACACAACACAAATCTTTTTTTTTTTTTTTTGCATTTCAGTTGTGTTTTTACTTTCTTGAAATAAAGTATAATATGCCAGAAATGTTGCATATTTTCTTCCAACTTCAATATTAAAATGGCTACACAAAAATTCATGAACTTTGGTAAGGTTTTAAAAAAAATGCATACTGATATGACAGCTGTCACAATACAAACTAACAAAATTGTTTTTGAATGAAGCTTAGCTGAAGACAGCTAAGCACAACTATAGCCATCATGTGGGGAAAAATGAGCTTTTGGGCAAATGCAATAAAATAGGGGAAATTTGAGGAGAAAAGTGAAAATATGAAAGTCACCTGAATCCTTTCAAAATCCATCCCCAGTACCATCTAGTGTGACGTCCTGCACAGGGCAGACTCAGTAAGTCGTCTTGTGTCTCTGGATATCCAGGAATCTATGGGTGAAAAACTTGAACAGAAGTTTTAACAGCAAAT